ACGTTTACGTTTACGTTACGTTACGTTTACGTTTACGTTTAGTTTACGTTACGTTAGTTACGTTACGTTACGTTCGTACTCTACTACTCTACTACTACTACTCTCTCTCTCTCTCTCTCTCTCTCTCTCTCTCTCTCTCTCTCTCTCTCTCTCTCTCTCTCTGAGTGTTCGAATGAACAACTTGGGCCGACTACTCAGCTGATGCCCGAGCTGAGTACTCGGCTCGAGTTTGACAAAGTACTGTAGAATCCAAAAAGTGTTTAAAAAAATAAATATAAAAAAACCCAGAAAAAGGAAATATATGTTTAAACTAAGATTAAACATGTTACAAATAGATTTCTAATTTTTTTGAATTTGTTATAATTTTTTTTTTATTTTTTCTAAGATCCCTAAGTTGGATCACCTACTCGGGACTCTTCTTCTCTCTCCCCTTCTCAACCCTTGTTGTCTGAGCACCCAATCTGTGGGATTGCCTTCTTTAGGATTAGTAAGAAATGTAATTTTATCGATTTTAATGCAGTTAACCCTTTTCTCAAAAAAAAAAATCAAGTAAATCTTTGATAATGCACCGTATATTTCTTATGTCTTCCCCAGCTCTAAGTACAAATGGAGATTAAAAGAAAGTCCACCCAAGCTTGAAGTAGTCAAACTTGCAAAAATAATGAGGACTCGCAGTGCCCTTAAATACCATTGAGAAGCAAGGAAAGTTGACAGGAGAAAGTGGAAATTGGGAATCTAAGTGTCTCAAGTGTAACTCATAATACAAAGGATCACATACCAGGCCAAAGCTCATTTAATTTGTCTACCTATTGCTAGAATTAAAAAAATGTCCATGGAAAAATGAGACAAAACAATAAAAGAGCCCAAATGAATCAAAAGCCATAAGTCCCATTACCAAGTCCTGAGAGTTCTAAGAATGGATTGAGAAAGGGGGCAGCTTGTTGAAGAAGTTATTCAATGCGTTGGCATGCAATAAGCTAGAAAATTTGATAATGCATGCTCTTTACTCATGGGCTTCCATCTAACATCATCCGAGCTTCTACATTGTCGCATGTTCATCTCCTTTGCTGGTAATAACAATTTAAAGGGATAGGCATACCCTACTGCAAAGGAGTTAAGGACAACATAAAGGCAGAAAAAATTAATGTAGAAGATGTTTTAACCCTGCTGAAGAGCAGTTGGAATTGTTGGTGATGAATGGACTAACACTAGTCACCTACCTATAATAAACATTGTGGCATCTTTCACTTTTGGGTCTACGTTTTTCAAAGCAATAGGGAGCACAAAACTACCAATTCTATGGTGAAACTTTCTTTGGATGCTATTTTTTCTTTTTGAAGTAATTTTTGGATAATAGTCTTGACATGTGGCCATAGTTTCAAAAAGCGGACCGCCCAGCACCTGGCCAGCTGCCTAGGAAGATATCCCTGGGCCCCCGCCTGAACCCACCTAAGCGGCCCCCAAGACCTGCGCCCCACCCAAAGGCGGAAATGCGGCTCTTTGAAGATATTTTTGGGTCATTTTTTTAATACTGAAGGAGCAAAATTATGGGTTTAAGGTTCATTTGAAACCTAAAATCCATTAGAGGCTATTTTAGAGAGAGAAAACCCAAAAAACGGAAAAAAAAAAAAAAATTTACTAGGTCGCCCAGGTTCTGGGCGCCCGCCTAGGCACTAGGCGGCCTGGACCCCCCCTATCGCCTAGGTGCCGCTTAGCGCTTTTTGAAACACTTAATTGTGGCCCTCAAATGTGGCACAAATAATTACCTACAATACCCCTGTTTGTAAGGAAAGGGGCTTCATGTCCATTTTAACATTTTTTGGAACCCTTGCATTGTTCCCAGTTCAAATTTACCATTAAAAATTATTTTCCACTCCAAGTAAGATGGAAAAGAAGAAAATGCTGAAGTATTCAACTAGATTTGGGATTTTATGCAATGAAGCCAAAATGCTAAAGATTATGTGGTCAATGACACACACATATTGACCATTTTCGAGAAGTATTTGCTACTAAAGCAATTTACTGTAGCAAATACTCATTTTGCCTCAAATGTTATTGTGATAAAGAGGATACAAGAGGTCAAGTCGGCTTTGGTGCACATGGTTTTTGATGAGGATTGGACAGTTTTTGTAAAGACAATACTAATGTATATTAAGTCTTCTTTTTAGTGAATGATGGTGGCAAAAAAGTAGATTATTTTGTCTTTACCCAAGCCAATACTTGATATGACAGGAATGTGATACTACTAACCAGCGTATGCTACACTTTGTCCATGAAAGTGGGAGAATATGATTACACAAATGCATAATTCTATTGACTCTTTGGAAAAGGATGAAGTGGTCACAGATAAAGTGGTTCTTTATTTGAAGGTCCATTCCATTTTGGTAATGCAGAGGAACAAGAACAACACTCCGCTTTATTGTCGCGCTTACTGTTTGAAACCAAAAATACTACACCAATGAGTGGCTAGCTGAGAGAGGTCAAGGAGAGGGAAGGAACCCTTCAAACTTTATGTTACGTGTTGAGAAGATAGGAAGACTATAGAGCCTAGACCACCTAGTGTTGCATTGCTTGTTTGTCAGGAGGATTTCATGCTTTCTCCTAGATCTTCGAAGGATGAGCTCGATAATACGAAGGGCAAGAGCAATCTTCATTTGGAACTTGTCAAATTCCGAATTCTATCAAAGTCACCATTTGCTTTAGAAGATTATGCCTTTGTCTTCTTTAAATGCACGAGATTAGTATCAGATTTTTTTTTTTTTTTACTCGAACTTAGAAGTAAAGGCATCAATAATCACTTGGAAATCCCTGGATTTATAAGAGCTTTGAGCAAGTGACATGATTCAAGAGTTGATGTCAAGGGTATCCACTAAAGTTTGTAGCCTCATAGCATTTCATGATGCCCACATAAAGGAAGCCTCAAAGCTTAACGTTGACATCGATTCAGTTAGAACCCTCGGCCCCAGGTGAAGGACGTATTTTGAGGCATTGAAAGGATAGCATTCCAAAGGATTTTCCAAGCCCAATTGGTCATGTGTGATTAATTTTGTCATGGCTGGTCCCAAGCCAGTGATGCTAGTCCCACGTCCAGAGAAAGGAGGAGGGTAAGTTGGCAGCCAACATAAAACTTTTTCCACATCTATTTCACGAATCCTGAAGTCAACCTCGAATAGTTGGAATAAGGTTCGGATGATGATGATGAATTGGTCTTGTGTGATTCAATACTAAAGGAGACCAAGGATCTCCTCACAGGATTTAGGGTGCTCCATAATTATTCTCCTACATTCATGGGGGCCGAATGTGATTTGGTAATGTAGATGGGCTCAACAAGCGTTGACACACCCTAAGAAAATCATAAAACAATTGATGAGGTTCTCAACCTTGGCATGTCAGATAGAATCCGCTTCAATCTTCATGAGAGAAGCCAACCTTGAAATAATTTCTTCTAACAAGGAAGGAGTTGGGACTGGACAGTAGTTGTTTATGGAGGACTCTCTCCCATTGCTTTAAAGGACCTTTTCTTGATCAATTATAGCCCATTGTACATTATGTTGGTTGTACTACAAATTAAAACAAGTGTACAATCTTAGATTATTAGCGTTTGTGAATTATCATCATCATCATTTTAGCCTTTTCCCAATTAATTGGGGTCGGCTGCATGAATCTCGGTTCTCCATTTTGCTCTATTAAAGGTCATATCGTCAGTGAGGCCAAAAGTCCCCATATCTTTTCGGACTACTTCCAACCACGTCCTTTTGGGACCCTACCATGTGAATTATCACATACATAACATTTCTGCATTTGTTAAATATTCTTCCAAGATTCCTGAAGACTTGGGCATCTTTGGTCTCCTAGCATGTGGCATTACAATGCCTCAATGAGTTTTCAATTAATGGACAAAAAGCTCAGTCAGTGAGCACTTTTCCACCCCAACAATACTTTCAGCAGCTTTCCTAACTGGGATTTACATGTACATTGTCATGGTTGCTAGCTCTCGGGAAAAATTAAAGTGATTTAAAATATTTGTACAAGGTCATCATGTAATCATTCACGTTTCACCCCATAACAACCATTAACGAGTAACAGCAACAACCATCAACCTCAACATAAGAAATTACAAAGACACAGGTATGTGAACAAGTGAAGTAGTAAAAAAATTACCTGAAGATTTGTAAGCAACTGATTTTGATCCGGTTTCTTGCTATCAGAATTATCATCAGATGATAAAATAACCTGCAGATCCTTTCCCATCCGAGAATTATTTGATTCAGAGGCCACAGAGTTATCTGCTACATTGCTGCTAGTTAAGGACTTTTGCGGTATTTCTGTAGTTTTAGAGAGCCCAAGATAAGCGTTCTCTTTCTCACAAGTGTCAAAAGAGAAAGACAGGTCCCCTGATGAGCCCAATATATTCTGGCCAGAATATGAATTGGATGTCACAGATTCTTCAATCTCGTTCTTAGCAGAAAGAGATGCCAGAGATTCTCTGGCATCTTCTTCAACAACACTACGGGTTTCAAGCATTTCTCCAGCACCAGATTCGTTCTCAGTTTCATCAGAGCTGCTATATGACCTCTGACCTGGGATTTTAACTGAAGAAGTCAAAAGAATATCGTCTGTAACTTCCAATTTAACAGCTTGACCCCGTGCTGTAGAAAAATTAGCATTATTTTCCATTCTCACCGACCATTGGTTCTGATGCATTTCAAGCATTTCTCTGACTCCAGGTAGACCATCAGTTTTATCAGAGCTGCTATCTGATTTCAGATTTGGAGTATAAACTGATGAAGTCAATGAAAAATCCTCTTTAACTTCCACTTGAACAGCTTGATCCCACGCTGTGGCCAAATTATCACTATTCCCAGTACTCATCAAACACTGGTTCTGATGTGTTTCACGCATTGCTCTGATTCCAGGTACACGATCAGTTTCATCAGAGCTGCTATATGATCTCAAATCTGGAATTTTAATTGAATGACTCAAAGAAAAATCCTCTCTAACTTCTACTTGAACTGCTTCATCACATGCAGTGGCAAAATTATCTGTACTGCCAGCACTGACCAAACTTTGGGCTTCAGGCAAACTCTCTATTACAACCATTTCATTGATAACATTACCTGCTCTTACAATTGAAGATTCCATAGAATCTTTTGCTCCATCCAGATCTTTGATAACGCCATCACTGTCCAAGTGAGCAGTTTCTATAACTCTTGTTAAAGCTTTCTGCTGTGAAACATGTTCACTTGTGATCCCTAAGTCATATTCTTCTCTGGTGAAACTTTGCTCAAGAGATCCGTTATTAGCAGAGTTCTGATGCATTTTAGCACAAGAGCGATAATCCCCATTAGGTTCCTCGATTAGTCTTGATTGAGATGAAGATGTTATGTGGGATAGGGATTCCACACCCATGAAATTTGCATCTATAGAATGGTCACTTGTAGTCATCAGAACTTCCTCATTTACACATTGAGAACCAGAAGAATGGATGGGGGGAACCTCTCCTTGATCCTGACCTTTCAATTGTCCTTTTTCTCCAGACAAGGACATGAGAAACTGAGATTCGATGGGCAAGGAATCCAGTTCACTTTCCTTTCCATTTGAAATATCACTCTCCTTTGAAGATGAGCTAGAACTACTCATCATATTTTTCTCTTGCACAATTTCACGAATGATATCCCGTATTGTGTAGAACGAGCCACCAACTTCCTTGTGTGTAAGAGTAAGCGAGGGAAAATTCCCATTTTTTGAGTTTCTGTACCTGAAAATAATCCTACAATCAGAAGCACATCCTTCTAATTTTCTGATGACCAAGAAAATATCATTGAAATGGTCAAAAGCACCTAAAGAATAACTCAGGTGGTCATATCAACAAATTTTTAAACAAAGTGGTCACTTTGAAAAGACCATTTCACACAAGTACCCTCTCTATTATTCTGTAAGAATACCTGAAATACCCCTGTTATGGATCTGGAATCCTGAAAAGAGGGCTACTTTGGTAATTTTGCCAAACTTAATTACTCCAGTTTCCAATGATGTAAACTGGAATCACCCATGTTTCTCCGATTTCCAAATCAAACATGTTTTTTATTCAGTAAAATCTCTTGGTCTGAGTGGGGAACATGGAACAAGTAAAGGTATTTACGGTATTTGGCTCGACTTAAGTCGCTGATCCAAATGATAAAACTACTTCAATTTTTTCTAAGTCCCATACCCAAAACATATGTTTTATACATTAAAATCTATTGTTTGGAAATCGGAATCCAGAACAAATGAGGTTATTTTAGTATTTTGGCCACACTCGTGTCATGTGCCAACTTACCAAACTATGCCCACTTGTTCAGGGTTCAAAACCCATGATAGGGGCATTTTGGGCATTTTTACAGAATAGTTTAGAAGTAAATTGAGTGAAATGATCTTATTAAAGTAATCACTTTGTTGAAAATTTGGTTTATTTGACCACATTAGGCGGTCTTTTAAGATGGTTTAACCATTTCAATGATATTTTGTCATATCATAAATAGCAGGACTATTTTAGCACATAAATGGAAAACATAATTAATTAATTAGAAAGCCTTAAGGAAGTGTATTTTGAATGGCCACCGCTGTACACAGCACAACCAAAATCTAGCAAGGAAAATCAATCCCGGTGCCAATAAATCTATAAAACTCTCATCTCCACCTCAACTAACACAGATCTGGAAATAAAAAACAAAAAAAGGATTGATTTCAAGCCCTAAAAATGGTCCACATTTCAACACTTTCTCTAGACCGCCCATTTCAAATCTTCATAGATCTCCTCAATATATATCGTTTTGGAGCTCTGAATTCAACAATTAAGAGTTTAAATAGCCATGTTGTCTACTAGCATAGAATATGAGTTTTCGAGGAGGTAGGTTTGTTAGTGTTGCTTTGTTCTCTTGATGGACAAAGTATTACACTGAAATTCATGACCTCCCTCATGCAAACCATACCAGCTCTATGTAATAAGTTAAAAAATGATTAACAAGTCCTAAAAACCACACAACCACAGTAGACATATGGAAATCCTTCAACTAGATGAAGGATGTTGGGATATGTGGCCTATAAAAGCCTAGAGAGCTTGTAAAGAAAAGCATTTAGTAATTTGTGCACTTCAGTGGGAATGTACTATGGTGACTAACTATGGGTTGGGTGGTATATGGCCCCGGTCATGTCCAAATATCCTTACCCCTAGGCATGCGGTACTACTGTTGAGGGTTTTACTGTAGGTCATCCCTTGTTGAGGTCAAAGAGATGCCCAAGGACGTTGTTTGTAGGCCAAGGGAGTTGTGTAGTCTCATATGTCAAGAGGATGGGCCTATGAGAGTGAGGATCAAATACTTAACAAAACTTCCGCACATAAAGTAATATGATAGCCGCATTTTGGGAAGCAACCCTATATAGAGCGACACGTGTACATGTGCATAAAGAGAGCGCCCCCTTGCACTATGTGTGCATCTGACTTGCTCTTATGGGGGAGCTTATAATCTACACATTGTGATTATGATTCCACTATTTATTGGCTAACTTTGAAAGGCCAGTCATGAGCCCCTACACTTGACTATAGGTCATGGGTTCCATTAGGTAGATTGAGAAGACAATAGTATATCATGGATCCTAGCATGGGTGGAGTCACCCGATATTTATTTTGTTTTTTAGCCATTAGGTACATATCCACTTCTAGGTAGTATTTCTGTGTGTTTTGAATTGTTACGGAACTCCAAAAATATTATTTTCAACTTAAAATGTGTTACTTTGAATTGTGGGAATTTTATAGAATTTTAAAAATGAATTTTAAATGTGTAAAAGCCCAAAAAGGGGGGATTTTAAAATTGCATGGACAATCTGGAAAATTTATAAAATTGTGAGGGATCCACGTGGAGGAGGTAAGGGCTCAGACCCACATGTGTGGACCCCACTAGAGGGTATCACTTGGACACCACTAAGGACCAAATGTCCCATTAATTGGGACGCCCTCTTTTTATGTGGCACATGTTTTTTTTAGTAAATATTTTTGTGGAATATTTTTCTTAGGAAATTATTCTTCTTGAAAAATATTCTTTAAATATTATCTTAGTGATTTTCTTGTTACCTAGTTATCTTTGACCAAATTTAAATTTTTTGAATTCCTAATTATCTCTTTGTTAGAGAAGAGGATTTCTAGATTATCCTAGACTGTTCTAGATAATTCTAGATGATAAGTTTTTTACTGGTCCAAGTTCTAGATGGACTCGAAGTGGATATGGGTCGAATCTCAGGGGATAAGGTTCTTAATGACTCAATCTAGATCATGATAGCGGATCTTGGAGATGAATGGCTCAGATTAGTTTTTCTCTCATCTCACATATCACCTAAATAATTTTAGACCAAGTTGAACTGCGAATTTCACTAGGACATCCTAGCCCTAGAGGCCTACAAATAGATATAGATGCTCCCTTATTTCAGTACAAAGACATCTCTCTCTCTCTCTCTCTCTCTCTCTCTCTCTCTCTCTCTCTCATGAAGGTGGTACACCACCCCATAAGTGTAGGGGTGGCACACACCTCTAGAAGAGGTGAGGGGGGCACGCCCAGCCCTTGTGGTTTAAAATTGGGGAGGCGCCTTTGTGGCATGCCCCATGTTTAAAGGAAGTCTTCTTAGTGAAAACCTAATTATATTTTTGCTCTCTTACCCCAATAAATACAGAAAGGGTGTCCCAGAGTGCTTCCTAGTTCACATTATTGAGTTCAATAATATCCAAAATTTTAAGTGCGCCATTAGTCAGGTAATCAAGTGTGGGGTCTGCTAAGCCCTAGAGGGGTAACCCAAGGCAAAAGTAAGCTTTTCTTGCTCAATTATAAAACATCACAGTTTTCAGTAGGAAGAAAGAAGCTATTGTTACATTCATTGGAACTCTTTTTTGATACATAAATGTTCCCATAATAGGGATGGACAATAATGCCCTTGAACTAAGGTACAATAACAAATAATGGTTTTTAAACATATTTGCATTAAATAATATTAAGTATGTCTTGAACAGTAACCTCTCAAATTATTCTAATTGTCTGACTTTGAAAAGAATCATCCAAAAGACCTTTAATTTCCATGTCTATAGGGCATTGTTGTTTAGCTTTTTGTGGATCCTAAACATGGCACACCATTTAATCCTCTGATTTCAATAATTTTTGACAACTCCGTCATGATATTGATGCTTGAACCACATGTTAAAAAATTTGAAGGCTTCAGTCCCCAATCTATAGGTTGTTCAAATTGTAGGGCAATAGCTTTGTGGTCCGATGAAAATGAAGGTATTGGTAGTCAGGTTACATTAGAGTTAGGGGATGAAGTTACACATTGGTTTGGACAGATATTTTGTTTTGTTTTTCAATGATGGAATTTTCCTACTTGGTTGTTTATCCAGAAACTATGAGCAGGAAATTTTATATAGTGATGTAATTAACTGCTCGTAAGTGCAACATTGTAAGACACAACTAAAAAAACATATGCAACATTCATGATGCTTTGCTGGATAATCAGCAAGCATATAGAACTGAAGGAAAGTTTCCATTAAAATATAGGAGCAACAAGGGGCTCGTATCTATGAAAATAATCTCACATGTGAGCAAAGGGGTATCATTGTCTTCCCATCCACGGGCAATCCATTGTCTTGCCATCCATGAGCAGTGACCACGAAATAAGATCTTCCTCATGCTTTTACTAAGATGGAACATTTCCTCAATGAGAGCAACCAACTTCAGCATGCAGAATAAATTAAAGAAGACAGGAAGTTTCTACAAGAAATTGCGCCTGAATTACCAAGATAAAGTGTAGTAACTGAATTATGGATCACATAAAGGAAGTGCAATATCAAGTTATCAACATAATCATGAAATATGGATGCCACTTAGAGATCTAAGAGAAAGAGAATATCATGATATATAAGCATTCTACCTATCTGTAAGATAACTTTAAACATTTTCTGAAACTAAGATAAAAGAGCCCATTTGGGACCATGAAGCGCCTAATAGAGTGGGTATTAGAGTGAATGATCTTAGGACACTCACACTTGTAGTCACCCAATGTGTTCTAGCCTCTTGGCTTTGGTGATTCCAGAGAACATTTTCCTATAAAAGGCCAGAAGAAATAGAGGATTGAATTACTGAAATTCTGATCTTAAGTCAACCAGTGTTTTGAAAGCCCATTTTGGTAATGATGATCATTAAATTTCTTATAACAATCCATGGTCCATACTTTCTCCCAAAAAAAAATAAAAAATTCATGGTCCATCATAGCTTTTCATTCTGCATGATGTACACATGGTTAAAGAATATTCTTAGACCAAGCTGTCTATTCTAAAGAAAACCCCATTCTCAACTCGATAGTACCAACAATTGAAAAAATAAATAAATAAATAAATAAATATATATATAGATATATATATATATATATATATATATATATATCAGTAGGAAGTATGCACATATGCTGCATCTCCTTACCTACGTCTAGGTTCTACGTAACCTTTCTTAGTAATCTAAGATGTCAA